ATAGGTTTTCATATAACAAGAATTGATGCGGTAAATGTACAAAGGTCTGGTTGATATTCATCAGCTAATGATTTCACATGTTCTTGGGTAGGGTAACCAAGTCTACTGCAAATATCCAGACTAATATATGTGGATTGGAATAAGGTTCTGAAAAAAGAGGAATAAAGAAAACGGGATGAGGAGCGGAACAGAAAATATTCGTATTCAAAGCCGAACAACGGCTTTGCACATACGTTTATGGATAAAACAAAGGTATGTTTATTCAGACTTTTTTAACAAAAACTAAACACCTGCACTTATGTAGGTTAATGAAGACAATTCAGCAGTGAGATAACTAATGGGAAGTTAGTCGAATGAATAGAGGAAATTCAGAAGAACCAAGTTGTTAGTAATAATGTTGATTTACAAAATATAATAAAGAGGCTCAGTGATATAATTTTTTGTCTTTTTTATTCTTTTTATTTTTAACTGTGAGGCTCAAGAAGTTATGAATGAGCCCTTTTTTAGTATAGTTGTCCAGACCAGCTTGTAATAGAATTTCTCGGTAGGAAGTAAAAACCAGTGCAAGGTTACAGACATGAGTTGTAGACGAGGTTAACAAGGAAAAGTAACATCAATATCACTGATTTGTTACATCCTGCTATATCGTAAGGAGCCGTAAGCAAACAAAATGTTCTGCCACACGGACATGGGTAGATTGAGGTTATCGCCCCACCGTCATGAATGTTGGTCAGATACACCACCCTCCCTCCTTTTGTGATGTTAGGCTACGTGGTTGGGGTCCGTGAGACGAAAGTCACCGATGTTTAGAGACCTTGAACGACATGGCTCAGAATCGTTTGCAATGGCGCAGCTGCATCCATTCTTCATGTTCTTTTTAATTCTAACCTGAATTCCTCATAATCTCTACCTTTCTCCTTCTAAATTTATCTCATTGAATTATACTTCTCGAATCTTATCTTCACTCCTTACAGCTAATCCTTTTACTATCGCTATCGTTCTTGGATTTGTGCTGATGTGGTATGGCAACCTGAACCGATGTACTTACGTACGAAGTTCTGTATCTATCTGTCTGTCTGGTGATTTGATCAGTCGAGAGAAGAGGCTGTACGGAATTTTATGACAATGAAAGAATAGATTTGTGTCATCAAGGTAGCGAACGATTACTAACTATTTCCTTTCGAACATTGAAAACAGTTACAAATCTCAGCCATTTGAAACTTGGAGGTCACCAACACCCTGGTTCGTAGGTCTTCTTTCATCCATGAACCTAAACAGATATTGTGGTGGAACACTTCTACGATTTGTTGAAAATTTACATTATTGTGCTCGTTTTGTTTAACTGTACCAACGTTCTCTTCGCGTTGCTGCTATTTTTCATGACGCGCTGCTCCCTATGTAATGCCTACTTTCTCCTTTAATAAAATATTCAAACATGGATTTATTTTGATTTAAGTGACGGGATGGTATGGAACATTCAGTGGTGATCATAGTCAATCTCGACTCGGTTAACACTAAAATTGGTGATCCGACGTTTCTTCAAAAGAAGTCAATTACGGTGAGTCTATTATTCATCTATCACCATTTTTATAATGTTGCAATACTATTAATAATGTCTTTAATATATATTATACTTGCAACAGCGTTTCGAAATGGTGGACAGCTATAATAATAGACTCCGAGGTGCAGGTCATTGCATTTCCACCTGTCTCCTCCTCGTCACTTCAGGTTGTTAGTTTATTTTATGTGCACGATTTTCGCACTAACGCTAGGTACTTGGTAGCCACAAGTTCCCAAGTTTCTGTAGTATCGTTTGGTAGCAGTAAATCATAAGCTACGATGCTTAGACCACGCAATGTGGATGGCTCTGTCATTCCTACCTACGATACACGACAGCTAACTATCAACCTGAATAATCGACGACAGTTTCTATGGACGTTCATCCCTGCTGATGTTCCCATAGCCGTACTCGGTATCGATTCCTTACAGCACTACGAATTGCTATTCGATTCACGTAGGCTGCGTTAATCGATACTTCGTCGAATATCAAATCCATGGTTTTTAACGCGCAAACAGATATGTACAGAATCGTCAGTATATATATTTTGGATTATTATTTATTTCATGTTATATTGTATAAATTCTCCGAAGCAACGAAACCGAGGAGATTTAACTGGTGATTAATTATGTGGTAAGCCAAATCGTCACCTGAAGACCCCCAGTCACGGCAAAACCTTGCCGAATGGCACTGGACAGATTAGCTTTCGCTAAGCGTGAGTTTTACAGTTTACTAGCTAATTTCTCCTTCAATAAAATATTCAAACATGGATTTATTTTGATTTAAGTGACGGGATGGTATGGAAAATTCAGTGGTGATCATAGTCAATCTCGACTCGGTCACCACTAAAATATCTTGAGTATACCTGCTTTTAGACAGCAGGCTTCGTCTTGTGGTGTATCCTATCAATTAGAACCTCGACATTGCATATTTTTCTCAATACCAAGTAAGAACTGAAGTCGGAATCCTTCATTGGGAGCATCTACGTGTTCCAGGCTATGCTTTATGCCTGTGGCATGCGTTCAGAGTCTCGCTCAACACAAGTTCTCCTATTTCCTGATGTCTATTGTTCCTCAGGTGCATTGAGTCAGAAAACATTCTGGATGATGTTTCTCACTGTTTGCCCGTGATCATCCACTGCCACCCTCCAACATTCTCGAGACTATTGGGGACGTAGCAGTTTTTATGTCATGTGCGCGTAATTTGCCATAATGTAGCAAAGGTAGGGCCCGCTTTTGTCCATGCTGAATGCTTCATTTATGACCAAGTTAAATCTGAGTGCTCCATTGTCACATCATCATATCGGTGTGAGGACATGAACATCCTCGGCCAGGAGTTGATCATTTATTGAAATCAAAGTTTGACAATTTTGCATCCTTAGTCCATCGAGTGGCACCGCATATACGCTCATTGATCCCCAAACTTCTGACAGTTCCGCCAAGTCTCTTTTGGAACGGAGCTGTGGAAGCTGTACCCTGTTTGCTGAGATTTTGGAGATGGAGTGTTGAAATCTTCTGCTAAGAGTCTTTGATCAAACCCTAGGAGTGGCAGTTGCTGTATTGCCTCAGTCAGTTTATTTTTCTGGGCCTTAGTACTTGAGGGTAGCTGACAAGTCCCTTCAACTAAGTAATTTGTACCATTTATCCTGAAGCAATACCAACATGATCCTGTCACATCCGTTGGTTGCCGTGTGATGTTTCGTCTTCGAAATGGCTGTTGATAAATATAGCCACTCCGCCTCCTATCTTGTAAACCCTATCGCATCAGGAGAGTGGCATGCCATGGAAGCTCATTTAATTGCCTGCAATATCGTGGGATAGCCATGTTTCAGTCAGGATTATGATCCAGCACTTGGTACTATTTTCCCAGAATTACATGTAAATCAGAGGTGATTTGATTATGGCGTACAACATACTAAGCACGCCACACCATCCCAAAGTAAGCCTCTTACCGATACATCACCATCACCCACTTCGTGCACACTTTTTCTCATTCAGAGTTGTCGCAACTTGGAATGCTGTCCCAGCCTATGTGACCACAGACCCCTCAGTGGACAGCTTCAAGAAAAGACTTTATGTACGCGAACCCATACACCGATTACTATCTCCCTCTTGGACAAGCTGTGCCTGATGCATGTTTTGAGACCTGCTAGTTGTTATTATTGCCATCTCCTCAGATCGCTAACTTAATCTATCTCGCCCATTACCTATTTTTCCTCTCCCCTGCTTACAGTTCCTTCCTTTCTCAAAATCTTCACTGCCAATTATTAAACTAAATTAACTATATATTAGTTCTGAAATCTTCTTATTAGCATTAGAATTTTCTCCTGATCATTCTCCACATTACAGCTAACCGATCTCCGGTCTGGTAATGTGATAGCTGTTGGTATACAGAAACGCTACTGCCCTGGAACAAACGTTTTCGTCCATATTACGGGATATACAAAGTGACAACCAACTGGCAAGAATTGGTGCAGCCGAGTGGCCAGACCCCCAATTCATTGGACACTACCAAACTACCTGAAACGTACAGAAGAACAAGAAGCAAGCTCGTGAATAAATACATTAGGCACTAGATGTGTCATCAGCGTTAGACGAAAACTGCGACTGCGTTTGGTTTAGAGTACATATTCCAGAATTCTAACGACTTACCCCTTACTCCTCTTATGTTGACATAGAGGCACTTGGTGGTTTGTCTCATCACCTGACGTACCTACGCAGAAACAGACACATCGCTATTACTGAACATGTTATTTCAGATATTTAAGAACGGGAAACGAGATAATTGGAATACGGAAATACGCGAAATAACAATATTCAAATTAAGTGAATACATACTACTCCAAAACTGCAACTTAAGCTTTGACTGTCCTAGTAAGCAACTTCGCGTGGATCCAGTAACTTTTCCACGAGTTTTGTGTTTGCGACTGAATGAATGTGTGTGCTGCTGAAGCAACTAAGAAGAGAGCAGTTGATTGAGACAGCTAGACAGACTTTGAATGACTCTGTTTGTCCTAATTGTTATTCAGATTGTTTACCAATGAATGGAGACAACTTTCATATCTTCGAGAATGATTAAATATCCCTATATGGTGTCCAAAACTGTATTTTTTTCTGTAAGTGGTGCGAAGTCAACGAGAACACGTTAATTTGGAAGCGTGCTCATGATATCTGTAAACAACTGTCGTGAATTGAAAATGGGCCAATGCCATTTAGTGCTACAGTGTGATAATAGTAGTTTATCCTTGAATCTACAAAGCACAAATTAATTTGACTACGGAAGGGCATTTCATTTGAACAGTTTGGCTTCTTTATATTGATCCAAAGAACAAGAACTGATCAATTGACTTATACTAGCTCGTGAAAAAGATATTGGATATTGGAAGTGAGTTTGTTTGTTCGTTTGCTTACCACTAAATAGGCAGCCATTTGCATTAGCCGCCATGAAACGGGATAGCTCAGGAAATAACCAGGATGGTCCTCCATCGAAATTTCAGCGTTCTACAGTCGATCTAACCAATGTCTCTATCAGATTTCTTATTCCTGGAAGAGCTGCAGGAATAATGATTGGGAAGGGTGGGGAAAATATCAAAAAAATACGGTCACAGGTTTGTTACTTCATAATTCATTCAGTAACTTGCTCAATTGCTATTTTGGCTTCAACTGACTCGATTCTTTGTTTTATGTTCTTTACGGTTCCTCCACCTCCCGGACACTAACTCGCTAAATCTGGTCAATCTCCTCTGATAACCCGATGGTTTGTGTTGGTACCATATGCCTGCCTTATTCTCAAACTGATGACTCTGGCTCATTGAAAACGGCCCTGCTTTATCCCATTTACTGTCTCAGTATAACGTCAAGCTGAATATTCCCGACAGCAGAGGCCCTGAACGGTAGGGTAACCCAGAAACTTAATGTCACCTTGATGTGTATTCGGTCGATTAATTAGTTTGCCTAAATTATTATTTTCATGTTTTTGGTTCATTTTTGTGTTTGTAAAGGCCATTTTGGCTATCATCTATGAAGTCATTCGTGACTGTTTGGCTATCAGTCAACCCACGAGTTACTGTTGTGACTGGAGATTCCAGTGACTTAGTCGTACGAGACAAATCTGTTGTGTAAAGATTTAGACAAGTTTTGGTGATAACCCTTAGATGGTTGTCTAGTTCTCCGAACCCTCCACGATACTGTCATTAAATGGAAGGGTGTCATAAGCTCCACTGTATGATTCAAGCTTTTGTCTTTTCCTTCTTTCCCAGCCTAACTTGTTTTCTTTCCAATAGGATAATGACTATCGAGGGTGACCTGCAAGCCATCTGCAGCATCATGCGCGATGTTTGTCCAAAACTAAAGGTAAGGTTAACTTAACTACTCTGACTTTGTAGGACATAATGAACGCAAAACTCTCCGACCCGAAACGCATAATGGGTGTCCAAGGGTCTCGACGTCGTCCAAGACGAAACGAAGACCCAGAACGGGATGATGAGGAAGACGAGAACATGATCGACTTTAGAATCCTGGTGCACGAAAGCCAAGCTGGCTCCGTCATCGGTCGAGGTGGGGAACGTATTAAGGATCTCCGTGATGTAAGTTTGCTAGTGTTTTCTCCAACATAAAATTTAGAAGTACAAAATGCGTGTTATCAAGGTGTATCAAATGTTGGCTCCGTTATCCACTGACCGAGTAGTACAGATGGTTGCTGACCCAGACAATGTCGTCCAATGCTTGAGAGCTGTGATAGAGGCGGTCGAGGTAAGTGTGGATGTTTTTCTGAATCATTTTCTTTCTTCCACTGGTTGTTCCAACCAACTTATTGATAGTCACAAATCTAAGTGTCAAGAATGTCCCATAGGTGTGCACGAATACCGCCGCGACCCTATCGGTTGAGCATTATTCTGTCGCGGCCTGAACAAGCGTTTACATACGTAACCTGGAAATATTACCTATCATTGCCGGGAGTGTTGTCTCACCTGTGGGCGTACTGACTGACCTTTCATGATGTGGGTGCATTGGATGCGCTTAATATTATTAGCTACATTGTACTTGTTGTGTTGGCTGTGTTTATGCTTAATATTGTATTCTTCACTTTCCAGTCTGCTCCTCCTCGTGGTCGCCGTGAAGACTATGACGCTGCCAACTTCAGTGAGGGTGATGCTCTTAACTACGGTGGTTGGTTGTCTCGAGAAGCCGCAGCAGCACTGGCTCAAGGGATGCCACTTCGTGGACCTGGATGCATGCCACCAATGGGTTATAACATGGGTGGTCCGTATATGATGGGTGGTGGTGACATGGGGCCAATGGGTGGCGGAATGGGCCCCATGGGAGGAGGAATGGGTCCTATGGGCGGTGGACCGATTCCCGGAGGTCGTGGTCGAGGGCCTCGTTCCGGCGGTGGAATGATGGGCGGAGGTGCACCTCCTGCGCAAGGTCAACGAGGTATGATGGGCTCCTCAGGACCAGCACCGGTTCCTCCTCCTGCTGGTCGTAATACTTCTATGGGTCCACCAGGCGGTTACAGTAGTTCAGTGGATGGAGGTTACGGTGGTCAAGGTGGATATGATGGTCCAGGTGGGTTTGATAACGGAGCATATGGAGGCATTGATCAAACCGGACAAGGCGGGTTCAGTGGTCCTGGATACGGTGGGTCAGGCAACATGACTTCCGGAGGCTACGGTGCGTCTGGGTATGGTGGAAGCCAGCGCGGATCCGGTGACATGGCAGGTGGTCAAAGGTAAGCTAGTTCATGTTATCCTGTATAAACTAACACGAAAAAGCTGAAACTCGTGAGAATTTTAGTTTGACAACTGAAATCTGTTCACCTCAGGGTTAGTCACGTGACAAGAACTTACTCAGAGTTGTCGCTCAGTTTAGTTCTAAAGTCATTCGCAACAATCCACCAGTCACTTATTAGCATTCGGGAAGTCACTTTATTTCAAGGACCCCAGACAACTGTTAGATACTTGTGGGTCAAGTTTGAGCTGAGGTGTAACGGTCTGTCTGGTTTTCGTGAGTAACCGCCAAGGTTTGTAGGGAGTACTCTGCACATTGACTTCTACAGAGCAGGATTGTTAATATCAAGATGTGTCCACTGGTGATGCTAGTTCTGAATGGCTTTCTGGAAGACAGAGTTCTTGTTGGTTAGGGGTGATTACTTATGAACGCTTTAGTTTGGAACCAGGCAAGTGTAGTTGAGTCGTTTGATTCTATATCAGGCCTCAACACAAATAATGTAGCTGAAATGCGGTTGCACACACATTGGTTGTGCGTGTATGTGCCTAGCTGGAGTAAAGAAAACATTGCTTGTCGTAACCTGGATACTGTGGGGCTGGGTTGGTGTTTATTCTCTATCTCGAAACATGTGGTTGTTTCTCTACCGAATTATGTTTGTTCTCCTTGTAGTGCGTCTCGCGGTGGCACCTATGGTGGTTACGGAAATATGGGGTCTGGAGAGCATGTTGGAGGCAAGGCAAACCAGTGGTATGGCGGATGGTCTTAAAAACTTGTTTGCATTTAATTTCAGTAAAGTATACCTGTAAATAAATAACATGATCACCTATTGGTTCTTGATGGCATGCGGATAGGATAGGATCCTGGGTTTGTGTGTCGGTTGCGTCGATTAGGTGTTGTGTTATGAGTGCGTTACATTGTGCGGACTTGTTCCGTGTGAGGATGTGGTTATCCTTCAAGGATATGTAGTTCCGTTTGGCATGAGTTTGTTTGATCGACTAGTCGGTAGACGGCGATAGATCTCCGGGACAAGCCCAGAGTGATAAGAGGTGTTCCTCGGAAAGCTCCTCCCAACTAGTTCTATGTGGAGGTGAAGATGTCCGGTTACTCTGTTACTAGGTAACCTAAAGTTCTTAAACGAAGGTTAGGCCACAATGTCATATGATTTACCGCATGTCAAATATGTGCGTAAAGTTGTGTTAGGCACCTCGATTTGTACGATTTGAGGGGTTGGGTGGTTTCTTATAAGGTCTGTGGATTTTAGATTGTGTTGTCTTGAGCTGATACATGTAGCTGTCCGATTAATTGCAATGTACTATTGTTACCAGTGTGTTGCGTGAATTACAGTCATAGGGAAAGTGAGTGTTCTGTTTGGGTTCTGCGTTTCCTCGTCTTAGTTTCCTGATTGTTGTGTTCGTAAGCGTTTACATTCGTCTTGAAATTCGGTTACTGGTTATGTTTCAATTTGATGAAGTGGAACTCAGGGTCGTTCACTGGACTTGTCCATTAAATTGATGATAATGCCAAAAAAGTCTTTCGGTTATCAGAGCACCTAGTAGTGTTTTCACTATAGTAAATCTGAATATCAGTTAGTCCTTTTGGTGGGTTCGAATCAAATACTGAGTTGAAATCCAGTAGTTGTTTGTGTATTTGCTTTCAAACACCCAGATGCATTTACCTAGAGGTATCTGGATATTCCTACTGTACAAGTCAATTAATTTGTGTGTGAGCTGGAATAGTACCTGGGTGCTCGTAATGAAGCGGAGTCGTCACTGCATAAGATGACATACAGTTTAAGCCACAAGGCAGTGAAGCGACACCGTATGATAGTCGATGATCGAAAGTAGGTTCATACGATTCTGATTCTCAGATTCCTGGAGCCCGTGTGCGCCATTTGTTTGTATTGTGGGATTTTCAACTCTCTCCACACTTCGACAGGTCATGGAACACACACATTTAGACGTCCTACAATAGTTGTCTTCCTGGACCCAAAAGCGTCAATTGACTCAGTGGGTCGTGAGGTTCTGTGGCATTGTCTCATTGAAAGGTGTACCAGAGAAGTACATTGAGCTTATAGAAGCTCCACACTCGAACACCACTTGTCGCGTGAGAGCCTTTGGCTAACTGTGATCTGAATTCTGTACATCAAGTGGTGTCCGTCATAGCTGTCCACTTTCTCCATTCTTGCTTAACTTTGTCGTTGAGTAAATGCCAGAAAATTTTTAGTTATGATAGTTGTCTGCTCGCCAATTATGTCCATCTACTGGCGCTATAATCAACTGTTAAATGTTATAGAGAAAGCTTTTACAAATCAGTAAAGTTTTTCTTAAAAGGAATGAATCGAATGATGGCAAATAGATGAATGCTATGAAAGTGACCGAGCGATGGTTGCTCACAATACAGGAATATTAACTCACACATAAAAGAGATTGGATCACTGACAAGAGTACTAGGCGGAAAAATAGCTTTTCTTATCAAAATAGATGCTAATGTACAAATTGTTAGCAAAAAAGTAGATACGATTAGATATCATAAGCGTTTGAAGTGAATTGGTTCTGCATGTTACTAACTGACCTATTGATAAACGCTAAAACATTTCGATGATGAGTTATGATAATAAAATCGATAAGTATTATCCGCTAATAAATCTACTTATATCCATTACGGAATCCTACAACTTTATCGTGAATTATCGGATTAAACTATAGAAACTCGAACTCTAAACTGGGTTTCATTTGTAGTACCTCCACATACTATTGAGCTTGTTCATAGTTGGTTTGGTTAAGCCTTTTGACTAACTTACTTAACCGAGTCGTTTGTATAGAAATAAGTTATATGCACTATTGGGTTTAATTCTTGTCTGGTTTGTATCAGCTGGTATGACTGAACATTGCCTACCGTCTACGCGCATATTTATTCTATTGGCTTTGGTGTTAATCTCTTAAACGTTTCTAACACTTCGTATTCCTCTTCTGATATATAAACCGTGAGGCGCTACTTAGTGACGGTTGTCTGGACGAGCGGCATACGAAGTCTAAGAACGCATTGGGTACCGATCGTCACGAAACTAGTGAGACACTGACCACCACACATTTTCTACCTATCTACATACATCTTGTTATTGTGTAATAAAGAAATGGATGAAATGAATGTAAAGAAAAGATGAATTAATTGTATCGAGCAGTACAAACATAGAATAAGTAGGCAAATGGTATATTACGTCATTGTTTGTATCAATCAGGTCACTTTTCAAATATAAAATTAATAACAGTAAGAATATCTGCAATCTGTTTAATACCAACTAGTATTCACCACATATACCCTTGCCAACAGTTTTGTAACAAATCAAGAGTACTAAGTCTACTGATCTGTTTCGTGATGGGTTCTTTTCAAAATTCCTATGTTTAATTACTCTAAGCTGACTGCTCAAAATATTGATAACGTAATGGAAAGTCTCCAAAAGTAACTTTCATAAGTTGAATTATAAAATCAAGGAACACAATCCTAAATATCATTTCTGAACCATCGCAACAGACAGTGAAGGAAGTGATCTAACCGAGCGATTGATAATGAACTGGTATGTCATATACAACGTTTTTCTCATCATTTTGGAGAGATCAAGAGTAACCGTATTAGCTGAATAGACAGACACACACAGATACAGCGCAGAACTTCGTACGTACGTCATCAGTTCAGGTTGCCATGCCCCATCAGCACAGAGACGCAACTGTCAGTTCATATCCAAGAGTGATAGAAATAATAGAAGTATTAGCAGTAATCGAGGAAATTGGGGAGCGAAGATATGATTCGAGAATTAAAAAGAACACGAAGAATGGATGCGGCTGCGTCATTGCAAACGATTCTGAGGCATACGTAACACATGTCCCAAACACCTCGACTACTTCACTCACTATCACTAGTTCAGGTGCCGATGCAACCCAATCCTGAAGCAACATTTTAAATTTCGACGGCGAGAACCGCATCCCGAACGTGCTTGAATTGTCGCTTGGGGTAGTCAGAAGACTCTGTATTTTGTCAGCGTCTTCACTGAGTAGAACAATGTCATCGGCATATTATAGGTCAGTAAGCGATTTTCCCGGTAGAAAGTCGACTCCTGAAAATTCAGACGAGCATAAGGTTATTTCTAAGAGCATGTCTATGATAAAATTAAACTAGAATGGAGAGAGTGGACATCCCTGACGCACACCACTTGAAGTAATGAATTCGCCATAAGCTCTCACCCGACCAGTAGTTTTAGAGGAGAGAGCTTGTATAAGGTTAATGTACTTCTTTGATACACCTTTCAATGACAGACACTCACAGAACCTCTAGATCCACCGAGTCAAATGCCGCTTTTAGGTCCAGGAAGTCAACTATTGTAGGACGCCTAAATATGTGTCTGTGTTCCAGGACCTGTCGTAGTGTGAAAATGTGGTTTATACAACCATGTCCAGGTCGAAAACCAGCCTGGTTTTCTCTAGTCTGCTCTTCACGAGCACTAGTAAGGCGTCTAAGTATAATCGAGGCTACCAATTTAGAAACTATATTAGTTAGACTTATTCCCCTGTGATTGTCACAAGAAGACTTTTGTCCTTTCTTATAAATTGGGACAATCAGGGATTGAGACCAGTCGGATGGGATTGTGTCCAGTTCCCAGATTCTACATAAGATTTCAGTCAACCTAGCTGTCAAAATTGGACCGCCATCCTTAAATATCTCAGGGATCAGTCTATCAGGACGTGCAGCTCGCCCTCGCTTCAGATTTCCTAACGCCTTCTCAACTTCATATAGACTAGGGGGACGTACGTCGATTCGCCATTCAGGATGACTGGAGATCGTGGGTCACCGAAGAGTTGCTCGAGGCCAGTTGAACCGACCCCTAAAATGTTCTGCCCATCAATCCAGTCTCCTGGACTGAAAACAAATAATAGTCCCATCATTTCCCGAGATAGTCTCACTTACACTAGGATTCCTAATACCAGTTTCCTTGATAAGTCGGAAAAGTTGTCTACTGCTGTCTATCGCCACTGCCTTTTCCATCACTTTTGCTTTCTCCACCCACCACTGTTCACGGTCACTGCGCAGGTTTTCTATCAGCCTGCGCTTAAGCTGACTTCGTTCCTCATCATGTTCAGAGCCAGGTGGGATGCGTTTTCGAGCATCCATCAGTTCGGTGGATGCTACTGAGATCCACGGCTTCATTCTAGCCTTATGGTTAACCTTACTAGCAGGTATCACTGCTGTTTCCACAGCCTTTTTGATATCATTCATCCCCCTTCCGGGTGAGATTCGCTTACATGATTGCCTAACTGTCTTTCTAGTTGTTTCTGAAATATATTCTTCGCCTTATTATCATTAAGTCAAACCCTAAGAGGCTTTCTTACGGTGTCTTTCCTACGTCCAGTAAGCCTCAAACAAATACGAGCTCACACTAGGGCATGATCTGAATCTAAACATGTGCCCCACAACGAGCGACAGTCCTCTATCGAACCCCTCCATCTGTGGCTGATGGCGATGTGATCTATTTTGGTCCAACGTGGAGACGACTTCGGGGGTCGCCAGGCCAAAAGATGTTTTTCCTTATGCCTAAAGTTAGTGTTTGCTAGAAATAGTTGGTTATCGAAGCATACTAGCAACATACGGTCGCTGTTGTCTGTTCTCTGAGCCGCAAAACTATAACATCCACCTAAGTGTCTTTCATTTTCACTTAGTCCACATACTTGAGCATTAAAGTCACCAGCGATTATTACTACGTCAGAGCGGCTAGCTTTTTGGATGAGGTCCGAAAGCCTTCTGTAGAACTCATCTTTCACCTCGTCTGAACTGCAGCCATTAGGGGCATAGGCAAATAAGACGAAGAGGCAACGATGGGTGTCTCTATCTTTCCGAGTCCTTACTGTCCTGTTCAGTCGGATGGCGCACAAGCGACTCTCAACAGGGATCCGGTCCAGGAGCGCTAGTTCTGCCCTACGACTCAATGCTATACGTACACCAGCGAGACCCCGGTTAGCAGCATCAGAGCTACCGGATACAGGAGCTGTTACGGGTATGAGGGAGGTTGTCACTTCCCGGCTGCCCACAACTCGGAAAGGATGTTTCTTGAAGGACCTGAAAAGGAAGATAGATTAGTGTTGTTGTTTGAGACCTGGGTGCGTGACGACAGAGTCCAAGGGACAACTGCTTGAGGCCGGTCCCGCACGGCTTTTTTATGAAAGGTATTTTGAGGATTAGCTCCGCTCTTGAACGCACTTAGTGGGCACCCTTAACCAAGGAGACGGAAATCCGTGAGGTAGGGGAGGTGTGACATTTTCGGGGCCGACCTTTTCTAACCCTTCCTTCCTTGTGAGAAGGCAGCATCGATGCGCATGCTGGTTGTCCGAGGGAAACACCTGTCTGCAGTTAGCAGTACGACTTCGCCCTCAAACCTTGGGCGGCTGCTTTTAGTCTCATCGTTCTCCAATCGACCTGCCTGGCATGGTAGAACCTTGAGGAACATATGTTCCAGCCATTATAGCTCGGCTGGGTCATCACGATAGGCAAGTTGGACCACCACGTCAAGGTAGCAGCTACGGTCGGGATTAGCTGAATAAGGTACCGTTTACTTGCTTACTCAGTGTATTATTTACAAATTTGATCGAACAATATATCACTGTTGTATAATTTGTGAACAAGATTCAAGCCATTGAACTAGATACTTGATCGATAGGCTATACAAAAACTGGTTCACGTTATACTAGATACATGATAACAGTACAAAATATTAAAGTTCTAGACAATATTTTACTCAATATAATTAGATTGAGTGTACTCAATCAGTTCAAAATAGAAATCATTGATAGAGAAGAAATTATGTATCGATTAATGAAGTTGAGTGTCTGTCAGTCCAAGCTCAACAACTTAGCAAACCTTAATTTCACTAGCCTACACATGCGAATATGAACATAATTAAGTTCAACTGAAACTTGTTATGAACATACATTAGTCAGCGGGATAATATTACAAGAATGTAAATACATTTCAGTAAAATGTTGATAAGATACATAGTTTATGTGAGAGAATCACTCACACCACTGATACGAAATGTGGCTAGAACTGATTCTTTGCATAATAAACAAACGAACAAAAGGAATGAAAGTCAGTTAGTTGAGAAAAAAAAATTATTAACCTAAATGAAAGATTGTGGTGATGTGATCAATGGAGAGAACAGGTTTTACGGAATTTTAGGACAATAAAAGAATAAATTTGTGTCATCAACGTAACGAACAATTACCGACTATTTCCTTTCGAACATTGAAAACAAGTTTTGACAATATGATAATAGTAGTTTCAGTGAACTTGTAAAATGTTCTTCCTTATTAGGAACATATTCTTATTTGAACTCTGATAAACTTACTCCTATCCTGGAGTTACTGTACTACTGTAATCTGTTCACAATAACTTCCAAGGAAAATCATTTATGTAAGGATTTTCAACCGGTATTGTTAGAATTATTTTCAGATATTACGAGTTAGTCAATCAACTTACTACGTAAGTGTATCAGTTCATTTTACCGTACCACATTATCAAGGAGATGCTATTGTCAATTCGAATCCCATAGTAGTAGAGGTATTATCAATAATCGGAGAGATTAGGTTTCGAAGATATTATTCAAGAAGTAGAATCTAGTGAGATAAACTTTAATCGAAAAATATAAAGGTGATGAGGAATAAAGAAGTTTAGGATTTGAGAGAATACAAAGAATGGATGCACCTGCGCTACTGCAAACGGTTTTGAGTCATGTCGTTCAGGTTCTCTAACCATAGATTACTATCATCTCGCGGGCCCCAACCAGGTATTCGACACCTAACGGCATGACTCAGTCCAATTGTCAGTGATTTCATGCATTTCTGTCATATTTTGGTTTGGCCGCCCTCAGCTTTCATCCAACCCACTCCTACACCACAAAACGTAGCTCGACGAGGCAGTCAGTGGTTAGGCATACGCAGCTTATGTCCCAACCACCTCAACTGATGAAGTTTCAATACTTCATCGATTGACCTGCCATTCTTATCTAGCACCCGTTCCCTAATAACAGCGTTGCTCACTCGTTTGTCCCAGGATATACGAGCAATGCTTCGAAGAAACCTATGGTCGAATACCAGTAACCTACGAATATCTTCTACTCTGACTGGTGATGCTTCAGAGCCATAAAGTGGGACGGAGCGAACTACTGCACAGTCCACTCATCCTTTAGTCAGCAAACGGATGTCTCGCCTACGCCATAAGTGACGCTGCTTGGCAAAAGCCAATCGAGCCTTCTGTATCCGAGCTGAGATTTCGTCAGTCACCAGGCCATTAGCACTAATGAGACTCCCGAGGTAAGTGAGGCAGTCTACGCATTCGACTACTTCACTCTCCATCACATAAATTACAATTTGTAAGCAGCTGATGAAATGCTAACATTAGAAGAATACTTCTGTGTACGTAAACTGTATAATACATCTGTATTTGAAAGCATGAATTGGTCATTGTTAAACCACCATTAAAAACCTGAGAGCACTGGTCGGCCATTTCAACAGTGATGCCATTAGATGCCAACTCAGTGGTCTAGAGGTTAGCTAGACCGCAGGCCTTGAGTTCGAGTTCTTCGCTCAGGGGTCTTGCATACGCACCGCTGAAGAGTTCAATACTAAGACTAAACGGCCGTCCAATGCTTCCATGTTTCTAATGGTGGTCTAACATTGACAATTTATGATTTGAAATTAACAGTAGCAGTCTCCACATCTTTATTACGAATATAATACATCTTCATGTTTTTTGTTGCCAGGTGAATATCATCAAATATCAAACTTTTACAGATGCTAGTTCTAAACATTTTTACGTCTACTCTTAATGGTGTTCAAATGGGAATGATGCAAGTGGAGGACAAAAGTGGATTTATTGCCTTTTTCAACCAAATTTATTGAAATACATATACATTCAAAGTCACTTACTCAAATGTATGGAAGGACTGGATGCTTCAAGAAAATAAGCTTCCTCTTTTGTTGATGTATTAAATCAACAATTTTATGAACTTTGATTACTATCCTGAGACTATCATCTGAATATCTTATCGATTAATTAAAGTCAGTAAGTTTGAGTAGACTAGGAAAGAATCAGTGGAATGTTCAATAATTTTTGGGTGGCCGACTGTTTTTCATCGATACTTACGGATATAACAGAACAATCCATGGTTATTGTTTTGTTTTGGGTAGTTTGTTAAAATATATCTGTTCCTTTATAAATTATATCGAATTTTATAATTATAGACCTCAGAAGTAGAAGTCGATGGATTTATGCGTATGAAATCAGTTCAAATGAAAGTAGACTATCTTCCTATGAATATTAAATGTATAAATTTCACTACTGTTTTATGCTTTGAACTAATTTTATTGAAAGCGATACAAGACTTTTAGTGTCTGCATTAAATTCGAAGTACAGCTCCCCAATTTATAAGCTTACTGTCTGGCTCCAGTTTGGATGAAAAGACGAATATTTTGCAAAAATAAATCTCTCAATTTCCATATATCATGCTTTTAGGCGAATCCATTTTGAGCGACAGCGGTATTAAAGAGCCAAATACGGTTTTATGGATGAATTTATTTTATACATTAGTTCATACAAACAGACATGAGAATACAAAGCATGAAAGCAGAGCAAAGCGAAGTGGAGAAGTCAAGTGAACCAACTCAACTCAATAGTCGGGAAAAAAAATAAGCTAGACATGTAATATGCTAAACAAGCATGCATATCACACAATAATAAAGACAACCGAGGTTATGAGCTATTCATAGACAAGGTCGAAAGATGTGTAAATAACTTAAGAAAAATGAATTAATTAATTTATCCAAACGTTGGGACAAACCCTGTAGGTTCAACATATCAGTATACACTACAGACTATCAAGACATGTATATAGATTGTATTGAACATAAAAACAGTCTGAGTGAATGTATAAAGCATTCATCGAATAATACAAATGACACAATGTACCAGGTTAGAGGATTAAGTAAATTACATCAAACTACATCTTATCACCATGATCATTATATAGAGGTTGATTTCAAGCTATCAAAACATAATGACTAACAAAACTTGTTATTTATATTATCAAAGAAATTGCAGACAGAAAAATAATTGTATCATAAGTACATTTTGTTTAGATAAGTACTGAGCTCCAAATAGTTAAGTGTAATCATGAAATATGCATACATATTACTCAATTACATAAGCCATTTATTCCTCAGTGGAAGATAAACCGTAAATCTATAATCTCTAATCTACTCCGTCTTGTTCTCTTCTTTCCAATTGTTGTATTATTCATTGTTTTGAGGACTGACTCCAATTCTTTGCACAGTGTGTTGCTCGATCTGTTTGGTTTAATTTTTCCTTTGAAAATTCTATGTTCCACTTTGCCTTTTGAGACAGTCAGGTGATTTCCACAATATGTGTCTTATTCACTTTCATAATTTTTCTCCCTGTATCTTCCTCATCTGCGAGCTAATTTGCTGTTTGACACAGTAGGTTTTTGGTGATGGTATTTGGTTAATGGATCAAGAGTAGCTTTTGTATGATGGTTTTCATCGTGTGAATTTTTCAGAGCTTGTCCATCCAGTGGAGGCTATGATTGGTGATCTATGTGTTGTGTTTATTATGTATACATTTGTTTCAAGTAATGCATATGTTTGAATATGAGAATGATGAAAAGCAACTCGTTTTTTAAACTTTTAACAGGGTTTTTTAAAATAACCAAAAAATTTTTTAAAATTTTCGCAGCGTTTTTTAAAATTTTTTGTAATCCTTAGAATGTCAGAAATAAATAGAAAAAACAACTTGATTTCGAATGAAAAAAGAAAAAGCCTTATAAAAAAAGTTATTGAAGATGGATACAGCGTCAAGGACGCGGCATTTCTTACAGATGTAAACTATCAGGCCGCTACAAATATTATAAGGTTGTATAAAAAGGAATCGCGAGTTGAGAAAAAAAAAACAGGAAAACCATCAAATAAGAAGATATATGTGTTGATATTATCAATTTTGTTGAAGAATTGATAGAATTAAACCCGTTAATAACGATGGTAGAAATTCGAGAAAAAACAGAAAACATATTTTCTATAGGCCTTTCTCTTGAATCTATAAGAAGGATAATTTATAGACTTCAGATTACTTTGAAAAGGATTTCTTATACATCGGTCAATATAAATTCGGAATCCAGTAAAAACAAACGCCAAATTTATGCTCAAAATTTTATGAACATTGAAGATACATTTATAAAAGTTTTTATAGATGAATCTTCTTTTAATTTGTACTTAAGAAGAACCTTGGGAAGATCTACAAGAGGAAAACCGGCAAGTGCCCTAGTTCCATCAACGCGTGGAACCAATATAAGTTTAATATCGGCTATAACAGAAAATGAAGTTCTCTTTGCTAAAACATTTGTTGATTCGGTGAATTCAGATAAGTTCATTCAGTTTTTTGATCAACTAATTGAAAAATGCAATCAAAAATCAATTTTTAAGAATTGTATTTTTATACTTGATAATGTGAGGATTCATCACTCAATTATCACAAAAAACTTTTTTGATGAAAATGGAGTAAACGTTATGTTTTTGTCTCCCTATAGTTACATGCTTAACCCAATCGAATTCGCGTTTTCGAAAATTAAATCCATTGTAAGAAGATCTCTGGCGAGCGGATCCAACGAATCTTTTATAAATCTAATACTAAATTCTGTAAATCAATTAACCAGGGATGATTTACAAGGTTATTCAAGACACGTACGTCGCAATTGTTTAAAAGCGATTGCTAAAAAAGATTTTAATTAAAAGTAGTTCTTATTTTATCTTTTCAAAAAAAAATTTTAAAAAACGCTGTGGTTATTTTAAAAAATCCTGTTAAAAGTTTAAAAAACGAGTTGAAATACTATATATATATATATATATATATATATATATATATATATATATATATATTCATGTACGTATGTAAAACTGATATAAATGTAACTGGATAATAAGTGCAATAATTAAGTATCCCTAACGTGATGACCCAACCGAGCTATATTGGCTGAAACATATGTTCCTGTAGGTTCTACCAAACCAGGCAGGTCGATTGGAGAACGATGAGACTAAAAGCAGTTACTCAAGGTCTGAGTGCGGTAAGGCCTTTTAAACAAGGGTGGAGCTAATACTTTAAAAACTTCTCATAAGAAGGCCGTGCATGACAGGCCTCAAGCAGCTGTCTCTTGGACTCTGCGTTCACGCTTATAGGTCTCTAAGACCAACACTAATCTACCTTCCTTTTCAGGTTCCTCAGGAAACACCCCTGAACGGTGTGGGCAGCTGGGAAGTGACATCCGCCTTCATACCTGTAACAGCATGCGAGACTGAACTGGTCACAATAAAATCCTTCCTACTGATAATGATGTGTACTTAGCTAAATATGATAAATACTCATACACATTGTTAATGAAGAAATGAACTGTTTAAAAAATATAGTTCATCCTAAATACTGTTTTAGCCAATAAACATATCTGTTCGACTGTTTTGACTGTCAAATTTTTTGGTAGACATTTTAATCAATTAATATTGTGTTACAAATTGTGCAATTGGATTTGATATGTGGTAATCTGTTATCGATGTCCCTATCAACAGGTTTTTGTTCTGTTGTAATATAAAGCGTTTTCCATATGACGTTTGTCAGCTATTGTTGTACTGTACTTTTTCTGATGAAACTGTTTGTGTGATAATTTAATTAGATTGGGGTATGCATTGCTGTCATTAAGGAAGCGATATTTTTAGTTTGCTTGATAAATCGTTTATATTTTTTATTACAAGGTTGTAGAGATTGTTTAGTTACTTTGAAATTATGAATCGACCAATGTTAGAACATCATTAGACACCTGGAAGCATAGGATACCAGCTCATTGGTCTAGAATGTTAGCGTTCGCGCACGTGATCGAAGGTTCTTCCTTGCTTCGATTCTCGAAGGCGGAGGTCATGCATGCGCACTGCTGTTAATGTCCCATATCGAGACGAAATTGTCTTCCAGTGCTTGCAGCTTTCTAACGGTGTTCTAACATTGATTGATTTATGAGTTGTAAATAAATTGTTCATAGTCAATTAAATCATACAGAACATTGCTAACTGAAGTAAAATCCCCTTCAAATAATCTCAAAATATATTCTGTCAATCGATGCAATGTATAAAACATTCAATATTTTGGTTTATTATCCATCATCCGATTCATTGTGTGACTAATTACAGTTCACAAATCAAATCAGAGATTAACGTAAATGCTCTATCAGGGTGAAGATTAGAGAAATAAAAACTTCTAGGATTGATTGATGGATCATCATAATACATATTCTTATTGTGTAATTATTAATGAAATAGATTACAATGCATTATATGTATTCATCAGCTGAGGTGGTTGGAACTTGTGTTACGTATACCTAACCACCGTCTATCCAGACTAGCAATGTTTTGTGTGGAAGGAGTGGGTTGGAAGAAAATCAGGGGCAGCCAAACCAAAATATGGCACAAATGCATGAAGTCATTGACAACTAGACTGAACTATTTTGGTAGATTTAAATTAACTGGTTAGGGTCCGCGAGACAATAGTAACCGATGGTTAGATTACCTTGAATAACATGGCTCAAAATCGTTTGTAATGGTTCAAGTGCATCCATTCTTTGTCTTCTCTCAAATTCTGATCTCCTGAATTATTCATGACCGTTTTTTTCTCTTTTTTGAATCTGTTTCATTGGATTATACTTCTCGAATCATATCTTGGAACCCTAAACTTCTCTATTACCTCTAATACTTCTTCAGCCCCCTACGACTACGAGATATAAATTTAAAATTCGATCTCTCTCTGTGCTAATGTGGTATGACAAGTTGAACTGATGTACGTAGGTACGTACGAAGTTCTCTGTTGTAGCTGTCTGACTAACATATATATATATATATATATCCGATTTCCTATTGCTAATCCCATAGTAGTATATTTCGTAGAAGTATTATTAGTAATGGAGATGATTAGCTTTCAAAGATACAATTTGAGAAGTAAAATCCAGTGAAATAGATTCAAAAAGAGAAGAAAACCGAGTCATGAGGAGTCTAGAAGATTAGAATTTTAGAGCGAAGACAAAGAATGAATACATCTGAGCTATTGTAAACGATTTTAAGCCATGTCCTAATGATTTACAGTCGACTCAGTGTATCTGATACTGAAGCGGAATTCCAATTAGTGTTTTGTTTTTATCACGTGATATTGTTCAACGGTTACGGACATAAGAATAACAAAAACAACAACAACAGAAAAAGTTATGCATCAAAACTATTCAAAGCATAACGTGAAATAAACAGCTAAAAGTAGTTTTTCTGGGTTAGTAATAGTTATGTAACGGAGTCAAAATCACCATGTATGATGTTGCTAACCCATTCTGTTTTCTTTCTATTTCAGGACGATCAAACATAAACGCTTTGGAAGCTGAAGAACAAGCCCTGAGTGCTCTGAACTTACAGGATGACTCATAAACTAGCCACCCTTTTCTGTACAAAGCCCGCGTATCTTAATTTTCAAATAAAAGAGTGCCGTGGCTACCACTTCGTGTCCTCTCTTGGTGTGAAGTGTTACACTAACCTTGTGTGTTGTGATTTTAGATCCTATCCGCTCTTCAGCGACTGCTGATTACACGTGTTACAATTGGTAACGGAGGTGACTACTGGAAAACTCAAAGCAAACTCAGACGAACCCCCGGTGCTGCCACCCAAAGGAAACAACCAGCACTAGCCCTCGTCAGCCACCACTTTTAGAAATGTCGTCGGATTATGCTGTTTGGAAATTTAGGGTAGAAGCATATCTGCGCCAAGTGCCTGTGTCGGGACATTTCGACTACCTCATATCGTTCTTGAGTGATGAGGCGGTAAAGAAAATAACACCATACGGTTTCTCAACATGCGATTCTCTACCTCAAAACTGGAAGATATTAGACGAATCTTTCTCCTTACCCGTGGATAAACATCAGGTTACCATTCAATTTTTGTCGCGTCACCAGAAATCTGGTGAGAATCCGATAGAGTACCTGGATGCTTTACAACAAATTGCAGTGCAAGCTTTTCCCGATTTGGATGCCTCGGGACAGGACGAACTAGTACGCTCCCGTTGTGTTGAAGGGCTGAGGCATGGACTACTAAGAGAACATCTACTTCGAATAGAGACAAAAAGGATATAACATGGTTTTACAATTGACTACACTACAATCAATACATCCATTGTTTGATGTATTCTTTTTGTGTAATTGAGATTTTTCACAATTGATCAAGTTATCTTTTGTTATAAATAACAATTGAAAGATTTCAAGTTAAAAGATAAAATGAGTAGGAAGTACTCTGTTTGTTCACAACAGAACGAATAGTTTTGAGAATAAAACTGAATATCAGTTTGTATGGCACTAGTTCATGACATTTTTTTAACAACTCATTCTCTGGTTTCAGTTTAATCTGTAAAAGTATAAATACACTAGTTGAATACTAAATCAGTGTACATCAGTTGAATTAATGAATGAAATGGGTGGGGGGATATGATATTTCTTTCGTCATATTACAGAAGTTTTTTATTCAGTGAATCAAACGAATTATGAACAATCTAGAATGTGTCATGCTGAATTGAGTGAGCTATTTGAGTTTAAATTTATTTTTCTGGATAAAATGACTGGTAAACTATTGATTGAGTAGTTGTTAAAACGTTCAGTGATTTGTATTGTTTGAAACATCAGTGTCAAAAATGGAGGATAGTTTAAATCATTTATCTAGGTAGTGAAATTGTGAAACTTGATAAAGGTCCTAATTTTGAATTACTCGCTTTCGCGCATAGACTATTCAATTGACCTTGAGATTACATTTTCCACCTGGAAAATCCTTGACTGTTATTAGTTGATGTAGTTTTTTAATACGATATTTTTGTGGCTCTCTCAAGGACGTTTCTATCATGTATAAATAAACTCGATTTGTGTGCTTGAAAACTTCATGTTTTCTAGGTGCTTGTAGAATGCACTTTCTACGTCTTGTCAAGACTTCTTCCTCTACTTAGTGGGGCCTTAGGACTCTGGGATTAGAGTAGCCTATCATGTCTCTCGATCATTTGTCTTCGTTCTCGTTTACCGACTAAAGTGAACTCGTAACAGCATTCAAGCACATCATTTGACGAGCATATCAGTGCTTTCTAGAAATATGAAATTGAAATCCGAGTAAAAGTGCTTCCCTCGACTCAAAATAATACTTGATAAATTGTAAAAATATTTTTCAGGTTTTTTTGGAATACCTTTAAATAGTTTTTTTCTTGAACAAGGGCTTTTGATTACATTTTTTCAAGGTTCGTACATACTTTTGCATGGACTTCTTATGAAAAATTGGTCCCCTTGATTCTACATATGATATTAGTTCTTCGACAACTTTATCGTAAGATTAAATCTCTGTCCTTAGCTTAGAAACCATATGATTTAAAAGTTCAAATTGTGAGTTGAATATACATCGAAG